GAAAAATCTCAAAAATGGTCAATTTCAGCTTTAAAACAGTCCGAAAATGGTTCAAAAAAGAAGCAAAAAAGATTTGCCACTAAGTGGAATCGAACTCGGGTCGTCAGATTGGTAGTGGAATTTTCGAAATTCCCACTGAGCCATTTGGTGCATTTTTCGGGAACCCACTCAAAAACCCTGAAAAAATGGAATTTTCCAGTGTTTTTAAACAAATTTTCTATCATTCCAGGGTCGCCTTCTCGCGTCTCGCTCCCAGAAAATGACCGACGACTCGTTGAGCTCTCGAATCCGTGGTGAAGCCAAATCGGCGTATCTCTCGGCACTCGCACTGGCGCCAGGACACTTTCCATCGATGGCAGCACTTGCGCAGTTGTATGAAGAGGAGGGAAATCAAAAAATGGCCGAGCACATGTTGAGGTGAGCGGAAAATTCGAGATAAATAGAGCCGAAAAGGGCTGAAATTGGTTGGAAGAGGCCTAGAAATCCTGAAATCTCGGTCACTGGTTCGATTAGGTCTGATCTAGTCAGAAGTAGGCTCATTTCGAAGCTCTTGGATTGCTGATTCTGAATATATATATTTCATGGCTGAGATTTAGATTTCTAGGCCACCAGGGGCGGATTTCTAGGCCATCAATGTATTCTGGCTCATTTTTGACAGACTTTCTACCTATGAAAACTAAAGATATCGATTTTTCCAGAGAAATGGTTCGTGTGGACCCACTAAACTGCGAATGGTGGCAACAATTGGGATGTTCGCTGATGAAACGTGGCGACGCCGAGAGAGCGACCGAATGTCTGACCGCGGCCTCTCAGCTGGATCGATCCACACCACTGCTGCCATTTTCGGTGGTCCCCATGGTGTTTCCCGCTAATTCGCGATAGTTTTCTATATATTTTTTTTTTCAGTCTTCTTCATTTTTAATGTTTAAAATCCGCTAATTTTGAGCCAAAACTCGTCAAAATTGGCTTAAGTTGCATTAGTGGCCTAGAAAATTGAAAAACTCGGCCATCGGACGCTGATTTTCTATATTTTCTTTGTCTCAATTTTCAGGTTGAAAATTCGCTAATTATGAGCCAAAAATCACATTAAAAAAAGTTCCTATTTATTTGAAAATCGTATAATTCCCCCGTTTTTTTTTTGTTTCTGATCTCTTTTTTTTTTCGAAAATTTCTAGGTTTTTCCTCTCTCCCCAGGTGACAGACAAGTTGTAAATAGATTCTAATTTATTATTGATTTTATTTATTTTCCATATTTTACACTGTAATTTACAGCCAAACAATGCAGCAATAAGAATTTAAGATTTCTAAAGAAATATTTTGAAAACTTTCGAAAAAAAATTTTGTTGCCAATTCAAATTTTTTTATATTTCTCCTGATTTTAAGGAATTCAAAATTTTCTATTTTTGAAATTTTTCGATTTTTAAATATTCGAATTTCTAGAAAATTCCAGCAAAATGGACCAAGAAGCGTGTCTAGACCTCGACGACGATGCGATGGATTTAGATGACGTGGATCCTACCGCTCCTGCAATGTCAGCGGCCGCCTATTTCAGACAAGTGAAGGCGGAACGACGACAGACGGCTGACGTCGTCAGAATTCAGAATTCACAACAGAATGCTCCGGAATCAACGAAGAAGAAGCAGCAACAATGGCTGGAGAGTGTTGGGTTTCAGAAGGAGGACGGTGCTAAGAATGAGGTAGACTGGGAATTGGGGAATGGTGGCCTAGAAATCTCAAAACTCGGCCAGAAAAGTATGACTTTTAAGACAAAAAACAGCTTAAAGACCCATGAATTTAACTTTTAACGCGGAAAATTTCATTTATGAGCGATTTTCCGAAAAATGCACGGATGGCTCAGTGGGAATTTCTAAAATTATCAATCGGACGACCCGAGTTCGATTCCACTCAGTGGAAAATCTTTTTTTTTCTGCTTTTTTACATCAGTTCAGATTGTTTTAGTGCTGAAAGAGACTATTTTTTAGGAATTTTTGGAAAATTTTGTCCTAATTTTCCTACGATTTCCAGACGTCGTCACTAGTCCCATCTGTCGAATGGCGTGCCGAAAAATGCCGTCAATTCGGAGACTTTCGAGAAATTCTAGCTGAAAAAATCGCAAAAACCCAACCGATGAAAATCAAGCAGCTGGCGGCGGTAGCTCAATTTTTTTTAAAAATTTTTCTAAAAAATTCAATTTTCAGCCTTCTGACGACGAGTGGCACGAGATTCTTCTGGAGAAGTGTCTTCCAGAATTTCAGGAAACTTGCGGGAATTTCAAGAATCACACTGGCACACCGCCAAGTGTACTAATGGTGTTGGCGATTCCCAAGAGACATGTAAGCCAGGGCTGATGGTGGCCCAGAAAATCGCAAAACTCGGCCACAGACTAAATATCGTCGCCGAGTTTTGACATTTCTAGGCCATGAGCTTAAAACGTTCATTTAGGCCCGTTTTTCGCCAATTGTCAGCATTAATTGACCAATTAATTTCCAGCTAAGTCAATTAATCGAAAATCTCGTCGAATGGTCTTCCGAAGAGGGTCTAAGTCGTCCGATTCGTGAATGGATCTATGCACTTTTATTGGTTATCGATTTGCCGTTGGTTCAGGATGTGATAGCAGCGTTGAGGACGTTGGCCAAGGATTGCAGGTGATTTTAAATGCTAAAAATCTTGAAAATTTAGCCTAAAAATCTGGAAGTTTCAACCTAAAAATCTTATTTTTCAGAAAACTTCGCTCTCGACTACCAGCAGATCGAAAAGCTGAAGCAAACGAGTACTCGATGTTCATCGCGATCATTGGCACATTCTTCGGGCAGAAGGATCTGGCGGATATTTGAATTTCCTACACATCAAAATCTCATTTTTTGTTCTCATATAAATCATTTTTTGTCTTTCTAATTCATTATCATAACTAGACATAACAAAAACGGGGAAAACTGGAAGGAAATTTGAATATTTCGATCGAGCGAGAGATCATCAGATGAGAATTCCGTCGATTCCAAAGTAGTGGGCGGCGAAGGCGGCTGAAAAAGATGACGTCATTATGTTTTTTAAAAACCTTTTGAAGGTCAAAAACCGGCATTTTTTATTTATTTATTTAGACCTGATTTTTGATCTTTTGAATGGAATTACGCACGGTTTTTGTGTACTTTTTTGTTTTTTTTTTCAGTTTTCAAGGTGAAAAAAAAATGTTTTTCAGGTTAAAAATAGGCCTGTTTTCCCCTTTTCCCTATTTTTGCCCATTTCTTACACTTACCGGCTTCCACCAAGAGTCCGAAAGTGATAAATGTGCCAATGTCCTTTTTCACCTTTTCCGATGCCATTTTGTCGAGTTCTGGTCCGCCGGCGCCCGGGAAGATCATGATTTCTGAATATTTTTGAATTTTTGAACATTTTTTGGCAGAAAAAACGAAGAGAAACGATAAAAATTAGCTAGAAAACTAGAGAAAATGAAGAAAATGATGTAAATCTTTCCTCTTGTGCATTTGGTCGTGTCGGTGTTTGCAGACAGATGCGCACCGTATTTGGCACGAAAAATAGGTTATTTTCAGCACTTTCCACGCTATCAGAAAACTGAAAAAATGAATAAAAAAGTTATTCTCCCAAATTTTCTACTAGAAAATGTGCTTCACAAAACTCCGCACCGATAGGTTACCCCCTAAAAAAGCTCGTTTCATCGATTTTTTGAATTAAAAAAAAAATTCCAAAAAATCAATTTTTCTAGATGGGAAACGATCACAGTAAAAAGAAAGAGCATTCGGAAGCTGAGAAAAGCCACGTAGAATCGTCTGAAAATCCGCAACTCGACGCCTACTTTTCGAGAATTTCAGATGGAAAAGATGCAGTGTCGGCGGAGAAATTAATTGTAAAAAATTCAAAATTTTGAATTTTGAAAATTCAAAAAAAATTGAAATTTCAGTCGCTATTCGATACGGATCTCGCTGAAAGCCTTCTCAAATATTTTGCCGGCTCCAAAACTGAAAAATTCATCTCTCGGGAGCAATTCCAGGCGAAATTCACCCCTTTGTATGGTACTTCGATGGATATTTATGTGAAAAGTGAGCATTTTGGTGGCCTAGAAACCCAAAAATTCAGTTTTCTCTTCCATTTAAGTCCTTCAACCCGTCCATCATTTCGTCAAAGTGTGTTCCGATGCTGCCGGGGCTTCAGCGATAAAAGGAGATGAGGAATTTATATCGAATTTGGTGAAAAATATGGTAAATTTTTGGAAAATTCTTCTGAAAAATAGGAAAACTTGAATATCTGAAAATATTGAAAAAACTCGAAAAATTTTTTTTTGGAAATTTTTGAAATTGCTGAAAATGTTGAAAATCTGAAAACACAGATTTCTGAAAATCTTGAAATTTTGGAAATGTTGAAAATATGGAAATTCCGAATGAATAAAAAAAATCGGGAATTCCAAAAAGCTGAAAGCTCCAAAAGTCTGAAATTTTCAAAAAATATGGTAACTTTTGAAATATTTGAAAATCTGAAAACCATGGAAGTCAGAAATTTTTGAAAATCTTCACAAAATTTCTGGCATTTTTAGACTTTTTTTTCTAAATTTTCAACTTTTCAAAATATTCAGGTTTTTGGAATTTTAAGATTTTTGAAATTTTCGGAATTTTCAGATTTTTTGATTTTCGGAATTTTTGATAATTTGAAAATTTTGGAGATCTTATATATTCGAAATTTTGAGAATTTTGAAAATGGGAGAACTCGAATATCTGAAAAATACCAAAAATCTGAAATACCTGAAAATTCCGAAATTCTGAAAAAAATATGAAAATGTTGGAAACCTGAACATTTTAAAAATCTAAAATTCCGGGAATTCCGAAATTCTGAAATATTTGAAAACTTGAAATTTCATATTTTCAGGTTTACAAAATTTTAAGATTTCCAAAAATTCAAAATTTCCAGATTTTTAGATTTCCGAAAGTTTTGGAAAAATTTTTTTTTTAAATCTCGGAAATCTTTCATTCCCCCCCCCCCCCCCCCATTTTTGACAGTTTTTTTTGTCAACTTTAAAGTTGATGATCTAAAAATTAATTTTTAAAAAATTTTGAAATTTTCAGACAAATGGAAAGATAGGCGAAGAAGCGACACAAGAAATCATTCGATGGAGACGAGACAATTGTGAGAAATTCACACTGGCAGCACAGAATCGAGTGGTTTCAGCAGTCACAGGGACTAAAATTGTAAGGATTTTTGAGAAAAAATTTATGAAAAAACGTTTTTTTCAGCTTTTTTTTTTCGAAAATTTCGATTTTCAGCCTAACCGCGGAAATTGAAAAAAAAAACCAAAAAATAGCAGAAAAATTTGAAAAATTTGGAAATTTTAAAAATCTGAAAATTGCGAGGCAAAAAATGTTTTTTTTCTGAAAATATCGATTTTCAGCCAAACCCAGACTACTCCTCTGATATTCTAACGCCTCTCCAAATGTGGTACGTCCAATCCTGCCTTCCGAATTTTTATTTTCCCGCCAAACCAATGGAAACTCCTGGAGCCGGACATTGGACACCGCTATACACGTCTCTACAGCACGGAATCAGTACAAATCGCTTTGAGACCCTTGTATTCGATTATCGTGGGCCTACAGTAACCGTTTTTCGATTAAAAGATGAGCGAGTGGTAGTGTTGGCGTCGGATCAGGAGTGGAGGTGGGAAAACAGGAGAATTCAAAAAATTTGATTTTTCAGATTTTCGAAAATTTCAAAACTCCCGAAAATCATAAAATTCCGAAAAATATGAAAATTCCGAATATCTGAAAATTTGAAAATCTCGGAATTTCGAAATTCTCAAGGTTTTTCAAATTCGGAAAATCTCAAAATTCCATAAATTTCGAAAAATCCAAATATCTGAAAATTGTGAAAATCTTAAAATTTTGGAAATTTCGTAAATCCAAAAAATCTAAAAACCCCAAAAACCGAATATTCCGAAATTTTGAAAAGGAAATTAAGATGTAAGAGGAAATGAGTTTCTTTTTTTAAAATACGCTTTCTTTAAAGCTTAAAATGTGACAAAGGACCTTAAAGAGCCAAAAATGTGAACAAAAAACGGAAAAAAAAATGTTTTTTGGAAAAGTTTGAAAATTCCAAAAATCTAAGAATCCCAAAATCTGAAAAAAAGTTTAAATCCGATTTTCAAAATTTTCAGAATGGTTAAGTTTAAAAATTTTTTCAGATTTTCGGAATTTTTGAAAACTTGAAAATTATAAGATTTTGAAATTTTCAATTTTTTGGAAATCTGAAAATTCCGAAAATCTCAAAATCTAATAATATATATAGAAAATCCCAAAATCTAAATAATATTCAAGGATCTGAAAATCTAAAAATCTGAAAGTCAAAGTTCTCGAAATTTTGTGAATCTGAAATTTTTGAAATGTTCGGAAAACCTAAAAATTCATACAATCTCAATATCTTGGAAATTTCGTAAATCTCGAATCCCTGTAAATCTGAAAATCTGAAAATGTTGAAAATCTCGAAAGTTGTTGAAAACCTGAAAATTCCGAATATCTGAAACTTCAGAAATTTCGAAAATCTAAAAATTCTGTATTTCTGAGAGCCTTGAAATTTGGAAATCTCGATAATTTTAGAACTTCCAGATTTTCATAATTTTCAGAATTTCAGATTCTTGTAATTTCAAGATTTCGTAATTTTGGAAATCTGAAAATCTGAAAATTTCGAGAATCTAAAACATTTGAAAATCTAAAAATTAAAAAATCTGAAAATACTTCCAGACACTCTGGCACCCGATTCGGCGGTCCACTAACCAGTTTCTTTGAAATCCACCCGACACTCAAACGAATCGACGAGGCGAATTCGATTTATTGTAATCTAAAACTTCGTACCATGGCCTACGGTATCAGTTTCAAAACGACAGAATTGAAAATTGGAAAAGATTTTGATGAGGTCCTGGATATCGAAGTATGGGGATGTGCCGGTCAGGGAACACTTGCCGAGCAGCAAAAATTGAAAAATTGGCAGAAACAGCAGGTGGGGAATTTTGAATTTTGGAAAAAAAAATTTCAATTAAAACAATTAATTTTAATTTAATTATTTTTTTAATTTTTAAAAATATTTTTTTAATTTAATTTTTTTTAATTAAAAAAAAATTCCAGACCGAGAAGCACAAAAAAGTGCCACTACCTGGAAATTGGGATGATAATCCAGATAAAACACTCCTCGAAATGGCCGGATTTCAATTTTCCAACGAACGAGCCGCAATGGAAATGGAGGCCAAGAAACGAGAAGAGGAACAGAGCCAATCGGAAAAAAGTCAATCGGAAAAATAAGATTTGTGGGATTACTGTATTTCTCCACGACCACTACTACTACTGTATAATAATTTGTGTTTTCATTTATTGCAATGATTTGATATGATATGTGTCACTTCCCCTAGCGAATTCACTTGTAGCTTTGAGATTATAAAATAAACTATTTTATCTTTAAAAATTACAAACTTTAACAGAAAAAAAAACAATTTAACAAGTTTTTCTTCTCTGAAACAATGGAATCAATTTGGAAATTGGTAGATCAAAAAAAAAATTTTTTTTGAAAAATTTTTTGTAGATCAAAATTTTCGTATCGATTTTTTCCTCCGACTTTTGTAGTTGAATTTTCGGCGTTTTTTCAATTGTTTTCTGCTTGTTTTGCCGCTTAAAACTCCTGGCTGGGGCGCCTACGACGCGACACTAATTTTGAGACCAACACAACAGTCACTTTTGAGCTCAGATATCTCGTTTCCTATGAAAGATTTCTGAAATTTGTCAGCTGATACAATTTTGGTGATATTATAGTGAACACTTTACCGTTTGACAGATTTTGGATTATTTTCACATCAACCGAAATAAAGTAACTCAAAGATGGAAAGGTAGCCGCTTGCCGGCTGAGCTACGCACTCTTAACTTTGAGCTCATCTATCTTGGTCCCTATAAGAGATATCAAAAAACATTTAACAGATAAACTGTTTGTCATAACATCATCAATATTTTATCAGTTTACTAATTCTTGATATCCCTCATAGGAACCGAAATAATTGACCTCAAAGTTAAGAAGTCGACAGCCGACAGCGTCGCTCTGCCGGCAAGCGGCGTCTTCTGAACTTTGAGCGTGTATATCTCGGCTCCTGTGAGAGCAATCAAATTCTTGTCAACTGATAAATATTTATCATAATATCAGCAAAAGTTTATTAGTTGAACAGTTCTTCATATCCCTGATAGGAATTGAGATAATTGAGCTCAAAGTGAACGTATAGAGTGTTCTATCGAGGTTTTCTTAACTTTTTGGTCAGTTCAGTACTCTTTAAAAAAACCGACCGCCTTTTTTGTAGATCAAGAAAATTTTGAGAATTAAAAAAAATAATTAGGTGTAGATCAAAAATCCATATTTTGATTTTTTTTCTTTCGCAACTTGAATATTTTATTGAATTCAAATTGAATATTTTAGTTTTCGATTGTTTTCCAAATTTACAATGTATATAGGCAAACATCGTCTCTAATTGGGTTAGAATTTTCAAATAATTCCTTTTTTTCCGTTGTCACCATCTTCGGATCACCGCAAATTTAGGGACATCATGGATCACTCCAGGGTGAATGAGGTGAATTTTTCACCCATAATTTCTGGATAATTTTCTTTTTTTCCAGTCTTCGCACCGTCATCCCCTCGCAGCAAGAATCGGAGACCCAGATGAGGATTTTAGCTAGGTAAAAATTTTTCATGAGTTTCACAGTAACCAATAATAGCGCTATATAATTTTGAAGCCCTTTAAATTATCAAAAATTTGTATAACTTTCCTTCTTCTATCTCCATTTCTCCAATCATCGTCTCACCATATTGGTCAGCGGTTCAACGCCCGTCCGGCTGATCCTCTTCGGAAAGAAAAAAAAATACATGGTACATCATAGTGAAGCTATTCCATCCCCAAGGACTCCGGCCGCCGCTGCTCCGTGGATGAGCCACCAGGTGTCTTCACCAAAAAACTCATAAAGTGAGTATTGGTTTTGCAGTAACAGATGAAAAGTACACGTAACAGCGGTTTTTAAACTGATTTTGTTGAGATGAATGCATTAGAAAAATTAACTAGGATTCTTGAATGGCTTATCGTTCAAAGAGCGGGTCAGAAAGCGCGCCCCAGCAAGTTTCGCGAAAATTCTAAATTCATGTCCAAAAATGTAAAAATCAATAATTCTGTAAACAGATCAAATTTAATTTTTTGTTGTTTTTCAGAAAAGTAGCATACCGTATTTCCTCTAATAGAAGCCCACATCTATTTGAAGCCCACCCTCCGAAATGCTTAAAAACATAGAAGCACATCCTCTAAGAGAAGTACGGGCACTTCAGTTAGTGCAGTTTGAACAGTTCATTTCGTCTATTCGGTTATTGTGAAAATTTATATCTCTGAATTTCCAATCCAATGGGTCCCTTTGGAAAAACCAGAACCCCTTTAATACCCCAAAAAATGTGATCTCCTCTTTTTTCACTCCCGCACATTTTCTCATTTCCATTCCATTCCATTCCACCCAATCCCATATCCATCCTCCACACCCATCCCTCTTTTTATTCCTTATTTCCATTCTTCCTATTTTTCCTCACATTTCTCATTTCTCGCCCGTTTTTCTTCTTCATTTTGAATCCAAAAGAAGAATTGACAATCTTCGGAGAGCGAAAAAAAACGAAGGAAATGAGGTCCTGGGGTGATAATTACGCTACTGAATAAGCACAGAAAATGGAATGGAATGGTCATTTTTCTTGTTTTATATGCAAATTTTCTTTTCCCAGAGCGGTACATTCAGTCATGAACGGTTCGGTACGGAAATTCTGAATTTCCAACTACCATAAAACCTGTAATAGAAAGAACCTCTAACTTTGAAGTACGAGGTCCATTATCTCGATTCCTATAAATGATATCAAAAAGTTTTTAACTGATAAATTGTTTATCATAATAAGACCAATATTTTATCAGTTGACAACTTTTTGGTATCTCTCACAGGAGCCGAGATAATTGAGCTCAAAGTTAGGAGGGAGGCAGCCGACCGCGTATCTCAGCCAGCAAGTTCCGACTTTTTAACTTTGGGCGCATACATCAAATTTCCTGTAAGAGATATCAAAACGTTGTTAACGGATAAATTGCTTATCATAATATCAGCAACATTTTATCAGTTGACAAAATTTTGATATCTAACACAGAAATTGGGATAAATTGTGCGGAAAGAGAATAGGGCGGGCTAGGTAATCAAGTTACTGGAAACTTCTAGAAACTTTTCGAAGCTTTTTGATTTTCGGATTCCCCTAAAAGCTGAGAATACGATTTTCTCAGAATTTCAAAATTTCAGTTTGATGGGAATCTTCCAGAAGTTTCCAAATGATTGATTTTTGATAATCCGTGTTTTTTTAAATTTAGGCTTTCATTTGTTCCAGTCTGAAATACACTGATTCTGAAATTTTGGGAATCCTGTTTTGTTGAAATTTCAATTCAAATTTAGGAGGTTTCAAAATTCCCAAAACTCTCCTTTTTGAAAAATAATTGAATTAATTCAGCTTCTAGACTTTTCCTATGAATTCAAAATGTGGAATTTCAAAAATGTCTTCTAAAAAACTATTATTTTTTTTACTCAAAATGTACCTAGAACTTGCCCGTTTAGTCTAAAATTTTCAAAAAAATTTAAAAATCAAATCTAGAACTACATTTCTCAAGTTGACCATTTTTCTCTAGCTATCGTAGTTTTGGAGATATGCGTCTTTAAATTTCGGCGCATATCTCCAAATTCAGGTTAGATAGCTTGAAAATGTTTATTAATAACATGTAGCTCATAAAATTTCCCACATATTTGTAGTTGACAAAACTTAAGTAGCTATCTTGTTTCTTGAGATATGCGTCTTTAAAGTTGGAGCTTCCCTCTGCTCAGCGTTTGAAAAGAGGGGTCAGCGAGCCAACTTTAAAGACGCATATCTCAAAAACTAAAATAGGTAGACAACTTTTGTCAACTAATAAAATGTTTAAAGTGAAATGTTACATACTTTTGTAGTTGACACCTTTTCTGTAACTACTGAAGTTTTTGAGATATGCGCCTTTGAAGTAGGCGCACCTCCTAATAGGCGCCTGACGAAGGAGCACAAACTTTAAAGGTGCATATTTCCAAAAATACGGTAGCTACAGAAAATATTTCAACTACAAATTTTACAAACATTTCCAGAATATTCTATTTCTCTAGTTAGAAAAAAAATCAATGATCTTTCTCTCTCTCTCTCTCTCTCTCTCTCTCTCTCTCTCTCTCTCTTTCTCTCTCTCTCTCTCTCTCTCTCTCTCTCTATCTTAAAACGCAAACTAATATATCCAATTAGGCCGGTGGGAGGGAGCACTACTGCCTGCTCTGTCAAAAGTTTTGTGTATTTTTTTTTGTTTTTAGGAAAAGAAGAAGAAGAAGAAGACGTCACTAGTTTGTAAAACAAGTAGAAGAAGGCGTCAAATAATTTCTCCCCATTTCTTCTAGTTCTTTTTTCTTCTTCTTCTTCTTTTTGCGTTTTTGACTCCCAAGGGGTGATCTCCTTATTCGAAACAGCTAAAAACCGGCGGGTAACTCTTTCTTACTTCATTTGTTTCCTTTTTTGTTTTTATAAATAGGAATTCAGAATTCTTCTGGAATATTCTGAGCCTTGGCCGTACCTTTGACGCTGGGGGATAATTGTATTTATTAGGCCAATTTTTCTAGCTACACCTTCTTTTTTCTAGCTCTCACAATATTTAATACATATTTTGGGAAAGTTTTAAGATCGATATTCGCGGGAAGAATTAGGGCAAGACTTGGGCAAAGCTAGCAAAAATTTGAACAATTACAACTGCCATAATCAGATTGGATTTGCTTTGAGTTGAACAACTAACTTGAGTCGGAAATTGCCAACTTTCAATATCTGAAAAGACCTATACCTTGTCCGTTTAGTCAGAATTTAAAAAAAATTATGAAACAAATCTAGAGCTATATTTTTGTAGTGGAGAACTTTTTTCTAGCTATCGTAGTTTTGGAAATATGCGCCTTCTTCTCGTCAGACGCCAGAAAGAAGAACGCCTATTTTAAAGGCCCATATCTCCGATTTCAGATTAGATAGTTCTATAATGTTAACTATATAAATGTAGCTCATGAAATTTCACAAATATTTTTAGTTAACAAAATCTTGGTTCTTGAGGTATGAGCCTTCAAAATTTGCAAATCATTCTGATCGGCGCCAGAAAGGAGGGCGTCAACTTTAAAGGCGCATAACTCCAAAGTCAAATTAGATAGTTCTATAATTTTAACTATGCAAATATAGCTCATAAAATTTCACACATTTTGTAGTTGACAACTTTTTTTAGCTACCGTAGTTTTGGAGACATGTGGCTTCTTTTCGCCAGGCGCCAGAACAGAGGGCAAAAATTTTAAACAAAACTTTTATCTTAAATTTCAGGGCACATAGTTTTATGAAATTTATTGTCAAAATGTAGGTTATAATATTTAAAATATATTTTTCGTGAACAAAATCTAAGTAGCTATCTTGGTTCTTGATATATGCGGCCTTTAAAGTAGGTGCACCTCCAACAAGGCATCTAACGAAGGATCGCAAACTTTAAAGACTCATATATCCAACTTCAGATTAGATAGTTCTATAATGTTATCTATCTAGCTCATGAAATTTTACATATTTTTGGATTTGACAAAATGTAGGTAGCTACCTTGGTTTTGGAGATATGGGCCTTTAAAATTTGCACCCCTCTTCGCCCGGCGCCAGCAAGAAAGGCGCCAACTGAAAAGGCGCATATCTCCAAAACTACGGTAGCTAGAAAAAATAAACTACAAAAGTTTATATCATTTCATTTTAAACAGTTTAATACCTTACAAAAGTTGTCTAGCTATTTTAGTTTTGGAGATATGCGCCTTTGAAGTAGGCGCACCTCCTAATAGGCGCCTGACGAAGGAGTGCAAACTTTGAAGGCGCATATCTCAAAAACTACGGTAGCTACAGAAAAGATGTCAACTACAAAATTGAAGTTTATTTTTCGATTAAGCAGAGTTTTAATGTCCCACTACTTTCCAAAATCTACTTCCCATCTTTTTCCTTAATTTTCCAATCAATACCACTTAAGAGAGTCTTCCTGTCACCTAGACGACATTGTTCTTCCAAGACCACTAGACAGCCATAAATCTATTTTTCGTATTCGGTTGCTAGTCGTTGTCTTCACATTGTCACCTGGAAACCGTATTGAATCCCAAAATGTATCTAGGTGACTAGACGCTAATGGGGTGCGCCGTCCCTCCCCAAAAACAAGACATTCGCTTTTTTTCCCCTTTATTTTGTATTGTTTTTCTGTGCCTGTTTGGCTTTTTGGCTTTTTGGCTTCGTGCAAAAATATTAACAGCAGAAAAATACCGGTGAGTCGTTGGGATATATAGCTGAGTAGCTTATAGATTAAGAGCCTCGGAGCACATAACTTTCCTCAAACTTGATATTTTCAAATGAATTAAAAAGAAAAAGGTAGAAATTCGAAAAGGCTACAAAATGATATATAGTTTGACTACTTTTGCAATGTTCAATTTTGTATACAGTATCGTAAGATAAACGAAAAGCATATTTTCAAGTTGATTTTTGGCTATTTTGACCATTTTAAGGATTTTAAGGCTCCCCATTATTAAAAGAGGCTTATCTCCGAGTTCCGGTTGGAGAATTTCAAATTAATGATTTTCAAACTATAGCTCATAAAATTTCACACATATTTGTAGTTGACAACTTTTTTCTAGCTACCGTAGTTTTTGGGATATGCGCCTTTGAAATTTGCACATTCCGCAGCTCAAGAAAAGACGGCGCCAAATTTAAAGGCGCATATCTCAAAAACTACAGAAGCTAGAATAAAATTGTTTTTTAAGAAAATGTGTAAAATTCAATTTTACATATTTGTGTAACTGACAACTTTTTTCGAGCTATTGTAGTTTTTGAGATATGCGCCTTTAAAGTAGGCACCTCCCACTAGGCGCCTGACGTAGGAGCGCAAACTTGAAAGGCACACAGCTCAAAATCTACAAAATCTAGAACAAAATTGTTAATTAAGTAAATGTGTGAAGTTTAATTTTACATATTTTTGTAGTTGATAAAATTTAGGTAGCTATCTTGATTCTTGAGGTATGTGCCTTTAAAGTTGGCGCACCTCCAATTAGGCACAACGCTACAGTGCCGTTTCGCAACCAATACATTTAGAAACTTCTAGTCAGCCTAGTCGCAACTTATCATAAAATATATCATTGATAAGATCGCTTGCTAAAGATTGTAAGGCTTACCTAGTTCCTGATGCCTTAAAAACTTATGGAACTTCCTGGAATATTCGAGGTACCAGGGATTTTTTCGACTTTTTGAACTTTCTGAATTAGCTGGATTACTAGAGAACTTATTGTTAGGATTTCCCAGGTTTTCTGATATTTCAAGAATGAGTTGACTAGTTTGTGGTCCCTTTTCATTATCTGTTCCAGCTTAAAATCAAGACCCCCCTCCCGAAAGTCTACACCTGTGAGAAAAATCCTTTCCCTCCTCCTTCAAATCCATCCCATCCATCCCGAAACCAAAAAAAGTTGTATGCTCTTCGTGTTTCTTCTTCTATCCCCGACGCGTCGACGTCGACGTCTCCAATATCTGCTTTTTTTGCCACGTATCAAGTTTCAGAAGATACATATGGCACCCCACGAGAGAGGGGGAGACGCGCACTATTTTACACACATGTGTGTGTGTGTGTGCCTGGTAAACTTACTAACGAGATGTGTACTAGTTTATCTAGTGGGCGTTTTTAGGACAAAAAACCCTGTAATTGAAGGGCCCCTTAACTTCAAGCCAATTTATCTTGGATGCTGTTAAAGGTATGGAAAAGTTGTCAACTGATAAAATGGTTATTGTAATATCGTAAACATTTTATCAGTTTACACATTTTTGATATCTTGCATGGGAAATGAGATAATTGAGCTCAAACTTGACAGTGTAGGGTTTCTAAATGAGTCAGAATTCATCCGATTTGAAAAATTGGCAGGGATGATTTAGAATTCATTTCTTTGACTCTTTGGATCGTTAAACTAAACAGACGTAGAAAATTTGCGATTTTGAATAAGAAGATGTCGACTTTCAGCCTTGAATATCTTAAATATCGTTTGCTATGTCCCAAGACCTTTTTAGTTACTGTACTTCTGGTATAGGACCCTTAGAAGATCCTGGGCCGCTAGGGTTATTAGCTGAGCTTCAAAACGGACGGTTGGGCCATGGTAACCCAGCCAGGCCGCGGCCGACTCTGGCCCTGTGTCTGACAACCCTCGTAGGACCTTAAACCATGAAACCGGTATATTTGGAATTATAGTGGAATTTAATCTATCAGATGGTTTAGCTTTCCATTGTATCGTTAAACTTTCCTCGCGGTTTACTACCCACTTCTAGCTTAACCTGCAGTATACGGTACCGGGGTTTTACCTAAGCCCATACCTTGTCCATCCCTTGCACAATTCTGGTCCATACCTTGTCCACTCATTCATCCAGATCCTTTCACTCACCCCATCCACCCATGGTCAGAGTACTTCTGGTATAGCGGTCCTAGAAGGTTCTGTGTAGCGGAGCTTATTGACACGGCAACCTCCCCTGGCCGCGACCGCGGCCTTGGTGGGCCCGTCTATCATGAAACTTGTATATTTAGAAATTTGAACTTTCAACCGGGGATTTTGCCCTTGATACCGGGATATTGCTTTGCCCAAACATTTTCCATTCCTTGCCCAGTTCTTGCCTAATTCATGCCCGCTCCTTCAGCTCCTTTGACTCACACCATCCACCCACACACATCCGGTTCCGCCTTTCCCTCCTCTTCGGTTCCTTTCTCAAATTTATAGCCACATACATAATTTTCACGTCAATCGACTCCCTCTTCTGATGTGCATGACTACCAATTAGGGAATCCCGGGAGAGAAAAAGCAGAGACGCGTCAACACCTTCTGTGTACTACTATACAGAAACTTGAACACTGTCTAGGATACAATGAGTGTTCTAGAAGATTTCTAGATTCTTGTCTACGTACCGCCCGTTTAGGGAATTTGGTCTGAGGTTAGTTAGTCTAATCAACATTAGTGATTTGCAATTTTCTGTAGATTTTAGGAATTTCCTAGCGAATTTTCAAGTTATCGCAACGACCGAATATACAGTACCGGTCAATAAGATATACAATAACGCTTATGTTGACTGTCGGCCATTTTCTGGAGTCTGGAGCTCGTCCGTCAAGTTTCCGATCACTTTGAAAATTTTGGAGAAAGTAAAACAGACCTAGATTGAAAACTTTAAATTCACAGAAAATTTTGAAAGTACTTTTTATTGTCGATTTTTGAAAGACACCCCTTTTCGGTCACTTTTGTACTAGAAATGTTAAAAAAAAATTGAAATTCCATAATTGTTTTCGAATCCCACTCTGAAACCAAAACATCAAGTGTCTAGAAAACTCCAAGAAATATCTGGTCTCCTTATATATGTTGCTTTTCTCATGGTACCCATTGAACTCGTGGGAAAAAAATTCATTTTTAAATTGACTTGCGCTTTTCTTGGTCCTTTTTTTGCATACTTGTGGAAAAGATGGCCGGCCCGCGGGCCGGGCTGAAATTTTTCTGAAAGCGGGCCGGGCCGGGCCGGCCCGCTTTTTGAAAATTTCGAAATTTTAGAGCAAATCATCATTTTTCAAGATGGCTTTTCTCCTTAATAAATAAAAATACACACTAGAGGACGATTCTGGCTTAATGAAGTTTGATTTTTTTTGCTAAAAATAATTAAATTGACTTTTTCGGATGGTTGTATGCATTTGGATTAATATTTGTGCTATTAAAAATATATTGACACATTTGAAAAGTAAAATTTTCGAAAAGTTGTTTTAGGCGGGCCGAGCGGGCCGGGCCGGGCCGGGCGGAGGGTTTTGAGGCAAGCGGGCCGGCCCGGCCATCCACGTGTATGTTTTTTTTGTCTTTGTCTCTTTATCATTTTCTATTTTTGACAGTGTATTACTAGATTACTACCGTATGACCTGTATTAGAAGGCCGTTTCCCTGTAGGGACCTCTCAGTCAGTAAGAGGGCTTCTGATACAACATTACGGTACATTAGTTTTGTTAGTGTATTGCAGTTTTGACTCTAGAATCATATCATTCTTCACCAAAAATCTCCATTTCCTCTTTTCAAAATGTTCTATCGTCTTCAAGTTCCCTGCAAAGTGTTATCTTCCTCTTTTCTTTGTTTTTTTTTGAAAATCTTTTCTGCAAAAGAAAAGCTTGATATATTTTTTCCTTATGAAATTTCAGCTTTCTTAGTGTTAAAGATTGCAAAATTTAGGGCTCTGAGGAAGTAGATAAAATGCGGCAAATACGCCTGAGAAAATTCAGAAAATATGAAACAAAGGGCCTCCTAACGTTTAACTTTGAGCCAATTTTTCTCGGTTCTTGTCAAAGATATGATAAAGTTGTCAACTGATAAACTGTTTATCACAATTTCACAAACATTTTATCTGTTGACACGGTTTTGATATCTTTTATAAGAACCGAGATAATTGAGCTCAAAAGCATTTAAGGTTGTTGTCAAAATTCATCTGGTTGAAAAATTGAATGATGGAATATCCATTTTCAAAATCCCAGAATATTCAGACTATGGAAGTTGCAATTCTGAATAAGAAGCCGCTGACTTGCAAACTTGAATATCCCAAATTTGGCCGATCCCAAAGCCATGACTTTTTGGTTAGGACACTTCTGGTATGGGTAGGATCCTGAGACCCTAGAAGTACCTGATTGACTGATAGCGTGTTTTTTCCGAAAGAACGGGTGATCTGGTTCAAGACAAGTTTTCCGCGTCCCGGTGGCCGTGGGGGTTCTAAAAACCGGTGTGGTTGGAACTAGCGGAGTCCGAATTTTCCACTGATAAGCTTTCCATGATATCTTTACATTATCCTCGCTGTTAACTGCCCACTTCTTGCTCAACCTGCAAGATACGGTACCGGGGCATCACCTTGCTCATACTGCGATTCAAACTAGTAATTTTTCCAAAAATTAAAGCTGGCCGGCCAAAACACGGGCCACCGGCGGTGGAAGAGCTAAAGTCAGATAAAGCCGAATTTGAAGGTCCAAAAATTAGGAACTTTATGAAAATCAAATTGGAATACCGTAATCTATGAATCTTGAAAACCCCTGTATTTTTGAAGCCTTTTTAAAAACTACCACTTTTTAAAATTACCGTATACCCTCTAATAGAAGGCCACCGTAGCTGTCAACTGTGAGCCCATTTATCTCGGTTTCTACAAGAGATATCAAAAAGTTGCCAACTAATAAAATGTTTGTGATATTGTGATGAAATTTTATCAGTTGACCACATTGGGCTTCTATTAGAGGAAATAGGTACCTTCTGTTATTTCTGTAGTTTTTTGATTCAGCAGTTTAGAAGAATTAATTTTTTTGGATCCCAAAACGGTCCTTGGTTCTAAGGGAAACTCTGAAATTAGCAATTTCCGGGACTATATAAAAGTAGATGCTATCATAGAAGTTTTGGGTTTTAAAGTTTCTGAAAAAAATACGTTTTTGGAATCAAATCAAAATCAAAGGATTTTGGATTTGATTGTAGTTTTCTGCTCTGACTTTAAGCCGCGCATTTTGACTTTTTCCATTTTTATGAGCATTAGTACATCTTCCTTATTCTCGATCCTTCAAAAAAACAGCTCTGGCGCCTAAAAAACCGTTCCTGGCTCATTTTGAGTTAAAACATTTTGACTCGGAAAAGAAAACTAAGGGGGATCTGTTTTTTTTCTTCAAAAGGGTTCCCCTTCTTTCCAAAAAAAAGAAAGGACTGCTTGCTATGGGGAGGGCTCATCCAGAAGAAGAAGACGAAGAGACCCGATGTAGTCGTCCCGGGGGCGCCGTGGGAGGGTGCGCATACATACACATTCACCCACTTTAAAGGCGCACAGCCACTCTCTTTTTCTCTCTTTTTCTCTCTTTCGTCTTGTTCGTGGACGTCTTCTAAAAAGAAGACGAAGAAAAAGAAGAAGAAGAAGACGTGCCGGAGGGAAAGGGATGTAGTAGCGCAGAGAGCACTTCTTGTGTCGGGAAGAAGAAGAAGAAGAAGAAGGACCTTCTTCTTCCCATTCTCTTTCTCTTCTCTCCATCCATCCATCCTTTTTCTTTCTTCTTCTCTCCCACCCAAACCGCCCCTTCTTCCCACCCACTACAGCTACACAGTGGTGAATTAAAAAAAAATTACAGTCTTTTTTTTCGAGTCCCAAATTGTTTTTGGTTCTAGAGGTGTAGAACAAGGACCAGGGAATTTTTTTAAAAATTAAAAAATTTTTGGGTTTTTAAAAATAAAAATAGAGGCTATTATGAATTTGGATCCCAAAATGGTTCTTGGTTCTAGAGTACCTAAAATTTGAAATTTTGGTTTCAGAAAATTTTTTTTTGAAATAAAGCCAGAAAGCTTCAAATTTGAAACTAGTTATTTTGGGATTCAATTGTAGTTTTTTGATTTCTAACCTCACAATTTTTTTTGGAAATTTTAGGCTCTCCTAATTCTCTGGATATTCTGAACTTTCCGAAATTCCAGAATTTTCAATATTTCAGAATTTCCTGTTTTTCTAGATTACTTAGAACTTCTGAATTTCGAAAAAATTCCAGATATTCCTGGAACTTTCGTTTTTCTAAATTTCCGAGTTTTCAATTTTTTTTCTGGAATTTTCTCTTATTCTATAATTTTGTCAATTTTCCTTTTTTCTAAAATTTAACAATAATTTCTAAATCGGTTTTTTAAATTGAAGAATTTCTTTTAATTTACACAGCCTTTTGGAACAGGTGGTGTCAATTATTTTTAAAACTTAATTGGTCAATTAAATATACCAAGTAATATTTATGATCCCTCCTTTTTTTCTAAATTTCAAGGGTTTAGAAAAGGAAAATGTATGACACTTATAAAGCAAAAAAAAAAAAAAATTAACTCTAATTGAAAAAATTAACTCTAATTGACACTAATTATTAAAAGATTTTTTTTGCAGTCATGCTCTTGCTCTGTGTGTCTGTTTGTCTTGAAAAAATTATTCCAAATTTAGTTGACCTTTTTGCGTTTTTTGTTGTTTTTCATTTCATTTTTCACCTGTCCCCCTTTTTTCTATTTTTAGATTACACTAAATTCCTGTCTGTCTCTGTGTCTGTAAATCTGTTTTTTTTTTGTAGTTTTGACGTTTCTTTGGGATATCAAAAATATAAAACTGCAAAACTGAATATTTCTAGTTTTCTTACTTTGTTTTTTCGGTAAATCGGAAAAAAAATGTTTGATCCCATTCTCACTTTTTTTTTTCATTTTTTAAGCTGAATAATCCTCAAGAAAGGAAATAAGCCTATTAGAAAAAATTGGCCTAATCTCTAGTTTTTTTTTTGAAAATCGTAAAATCTTTGAAATTGAAAAATCGGAAATTTCAGAAAAAATTTGAAAAATTTTAGATGATTTAAAAATTCTGAATTTCAGAATTTCACCAAAATTAGACATCGGAAACTGAAGAAAAATCAAAATTTTTTGGAAATTCTCAGTCCATTATTTTTTGCAGACGAAAAAAGACACCACCAATTTTGCTTTTTTTTTTGTTTTGCTGAAATTTTTTGTTTGATTTTTTTCCATAGTTGGTCTCTTCAAATTTTGCCAAACTCTGATATTGTATCACATAATTTTTGAAAAATTCAGGATAATGGAGTCGATAGAGGCATGATATTAGTGGAAATACCGTAAAACCTGTAATAGAAGGGCCCTCTAATTTTGAGCCCATGTATCTCATTTTCTGTGAGAGATATCAAAAAGTGGTAAACTAATAAAGTGTTGTTGATATTATGATAAACATTTTATTAGTTGACAACTTTTTGATATCTTTTAAAAGAAGTGAGATATTTAGGCTCAAAGTTAAAATTCAGAGGTGGCGTTCTATTAGAGTGTTTACGGTACTTTTTGAAGAATTCAGGAAAATGGAGTCCCTAAAGAAAAGATATTAGTAGAAATTATAGCTGACAAGTGATTTTTTTGTGATCCATAGATTTGTAGTTTTCTGATTTCTACAGGATTTTTTATGGTTTTCCCATGTTTTGTAATTTTGGGTTTTAATAGATTTTTGAAGATATTTTTTCAGAATTTTTGAGATTCCACAAACTTCGATTCTCTTAATTTCCTAGAATTCAGAATTCCACGGAAATTCTGGAATGCCAGAATTTGTGGAAAATTTTTCAGAATTATAGATTTCCTAGACCTTTTGGATTTGCTAGAATTCTTGATTTTCTGAAATTTTTGGACTTTCTGGAAATCCTGAATTCTCAATAATTCCGAATTATTCCAACTTCTAGTTTTCCTAGAATTCCTGATTCTGGAAATTCTGGAATTTCCAGACTTTCTAGAATTACTATATTTTGCTAAATCTCCCGATTACTTGAAAAATCTGAACTTTCTGAAAGTCGTTAATTTTCCCTGTTATAGATTCCTATTAATTTCTAGATTACCTAGAATTTTCGAATTTCCGAATTACTCGAATTTTTTTGACATCTGAAAATACTGTACCTTTGAATCCGTCCAGCCTTTTAAATTCCAATTATCACCTCTATTCCAGCCCATTCCCATCCAAAAATGACCATTAAAAAACTATTCTGACCCTCTCCCTCAGCCCGGAAGACTCATATGGACCCCCAAAAAAAGTCGATAAAAGTAGAGAGAGAGAGAGAGAGAGAGAGAGAGAGAGAGAGAGAGAGAGAGAGAGAGAAAAGAGGTCCATGTCCCTTTCCGCCCTTTTTTCCATACGGCACACACACTTTTTCCTTGTCTCTATGTCTCTCTCTCTCTCTTCTGAAAATCTTTCCACCCCGTATTTTTCGTGTTTGTGCTTCACTCTTGCTCTCTCTCTCTCCGCGTTTTTCCATTTATGTCCTCCCTCCTTCTTCCATTTTTGCCCGGGCTCCTCCCTCCTTCTTTTTTTCTTTTTTCACTAAATCCCGTTTTGAGAAGAGAAAAAAGAAAGAAGAAGAAGAAGAAGAAGCACCCACTTGCTCAGACACTGATGGAGCACACACTCAGAGAACGAGTGGATTCTTTTCTCTTCTCTTTTTTTTGAATTTTAATTTTTTTTGCTTATTTTCCTTCATCATAGTTTTGTGCTGTATATCATTTTGTTTAAAAAATCTAAATTTTGATAGTTTTAAAAATTCAAAATATTTAGTTTAAAGAGATTGAGATCGAAAATCTACTAGAGGTCCTTAATTTTTTGAGGCCAACTTTGAGTTGTATTATCTCGGTTTCTATAAAAGATATGGAAAAGTGGTCAATTGATAAAATGTTTGTGATATTATGATAAACAATTTATCAGTTAACACATTTTTGTTATCTTTTATAGGAGCCAAAATAATTGAGCTCAACGTTAAGAAGTCCGCAGGCGACCGCGTAGCTCAGCGGGCAAGCTCTGCCTTCTCAACTTTGAGCTCCATTATCTCGGTTCCTATAAAATATATGGAAAAGTGGTCAATTGATAAAATATGTAGGATATTATGATAAACAATTTATCTGTTAAATTTCTATTTTTTTACAGAAATCGAGATAATTTAGCTACAAGTTGAGTGGACGGTTGCGGTTTATGGTAATCTTGTAATTTTCAAAGACCCACATTTTTCTAAAAATCTAAATTTTCAAACATAACTTTTATATCAAAATGATCCTTGGGGTGTAAGATATAAGAATATATACATTTCTTCATAAAATTCCAATGCTAAAGGGACAAACGGGTCTAAAGAACTACTAGGTGTTTTGACATCATACTACTCTGACCGTTCATTCAACTTTAAGCCAATTTATCTCGGTTTCTATTAAAGATATGAGAAGGCTGTCAATTGATAAATTGTTTTTCATAATATCAAAAATATTTTATCAGTTGACAAATTTTTGATTTCTTTCACGGGAATCTTTATAATTGAGCTCAAACTTAACAGTGAGGGGACCCTTCTATTATGGTTGGTCAAAATTTAGGGGTCAAAGTTAACTGAGATACAAAGCAATTTAGGAGTACAAAACCCTTAATTCGGGGGTACCAAATACCTTTAAAAGCCAATGTTGAACCCCGAATTGAGGATTTTATACACTTAAATCGCTTTGTACCCCTTTTAGCCCCAAACTGTTGTGCCCTCCGAATTATATTCCTTTCTCACTCTCCTTCTGATTTTTCCCTTACCAAACTATCTTTAATTTCAGACACCCCTTCAACGGGATCGGTACCATCGTGGCATCGCCAAAACCGACCCAATTCGTTCCACCATAAAAAAACCAACCACCAAAAAATCCACCATACTCCGCCGAAACCATCATAATTGGGCGGTTCGCGGGGTGTCTCCAGAAAGGCGGACCACCTAGTGTGACCTGAATGCTGGGCGGTCTGTCGGGGCCCGGTCCGCCGCCACCCCCGCCCCCACCATCCACATCAACCTATGGACAACTACTACCGGGACCATCGACAGGTCCCTCCTGCTCCACAACATCATTCACCAACCATCTGGGTCCCACGACGACGTCTCAGACTACAGTACTACCATCCAGTGACACGTTACTGTTACAATTAAGATCGCGGCCTAATTCGAGGGTATTTCGAGCGTTGTTTCAATATTTGCCGTTGAGAGATTCACCAAACGAGAATCCACAGCTAGAATTGAGTCTGCAGCCGGGTGATGTGGTGCTGGTGAAAGGAGAAATGGATTCTGATGGATTCTATTGTGGAGAGACGTTGGATGGAAGGCAAGGACTGGTACCATCAAATTACGTGGAACGGTGAGTATTTGAATTTAAAAAATTGTCTAATAATGCAAAAAAAACTCCCTCAAGCCTATAATGGAAAGGCTCTCACACTGTCAGGTTTGAGGCCAATTATCTCGGCTGTTATCAGAGATATCAAAAATGTGTCAACTGATAAAATATAGGTGATATTATGACAAACAGTTTACTAATTGACAACTTTTTGATATATTTTACAAGAAATAAGATACATCGGCCCAAAGTTAGAGAGCACTTCTACAGGTTTCATGGTATCAAATTGCCTTGAAATTTCAAGTTTTTCGGGATCCTAAAAACTCTGAAAATTGATGAAAACCGTTCCAAAAATTTCTTCCATAAATGACTCATTCTCCATTTTTCCCGTTTTCTGCCGAACCAAAAAAAGCAAAAAAGAACCAATTCATTAGCGGATCACAATAAAAAAGGCCTAGCCATCCGGAAGTCAATTTTTTTATTCATTTGAAGGAAAAAAAAACGTACTAATAGTGCAAAAAATAATTTTCCCATGGCCATGTTGGGCTTTAGTTTCCCCTATTCAAAAGTGCATGTTTTGGAATCAGTGGGGATTACTTGAATTTGAAAAATTTGAGAAATAAAGTTCGGAACAGATCATTCAAATAAATGTTTAAAAATATAAAAGAAAGTAACAATTAAAAAAAGGTAAAACTTTTCAAAAATAATCTTGGATTCCTGAATTCCTGGATTCCTGGATTTCTGGATTCTTGAATTCCTGGATTCTTGGATTTTTGAATTTTCAGATTTTTTGATTTTAGTATTCTTGATTTTATAGATTTCGATTCCTGGATTCCTGAATTTTGAATTTCTGGATTTTTGGATTCCTAGATTCCTGTATTCCTAAATTTTTGGATTCCTGGATTCCTGGGTTTCTAATATCCTGGATCTCCGGATTTTTGGATTCTTGGATTTCTGGATTATTGGATTCCTGGATTCATAGATTTCTGGATTCCTGGATTCTTGGATTCTTGGACTCTTGGATTCTTGGATTCTTGGATCCCTGGATCCCTGGATTCCTGGATTCCTGGATTCTTGGATTTCTGGGTTCTTGGATTTCTGGATTCCTAGATTCCTGGGTTCTTGTATTCTTGGCTTCTTGGATTCTTGGATTCTTGGATTCTTGGATTCTTGGATTCAAAAATTAGACAATTTCAACTTTTTCAAAAATGTTCAAATTATCAAAACTCAAAGTTTTCAGCGTCCCCGACTCGGTGCTCCTTGCCAACGCTCGTGCTCCATCACCATCGTTTCCTCTCCGAATACCTCAACATTTTTCAACGATTCAACACGATTTCTCATCACCCGATCACTCGACACTTCCCGATTCCGTTTGTCCCTATCCGCCAGCCGACGTCACCAAGGTTACGGTACAGGAGATCAAAAATAGTGAAACGCCTAGGAGTGAGTTTATTATTCTTTCGAAAAAAAATGTGTCTATACAGTGCACCCGAAAAACCCGGAAAACTTTGAAGTAGTTTATCTCGGCCCCTGTAAAGTGTATCAAAAAGTAATCAACTGATGAAATGTTTATCATAATATCAGAAACAGTTGAAATCTTCTGAATATCATTCACGGGAACCAAGATAAATCTCATCAAAACAGTACTGTGCTCATTTTGGAGCTCCTAGCTTTGGAAATTTGGAAAAAAAACAGTCAAGTTACAGTAGGAACTTTCTAATCCACCAAAAATGTAAATTGCTTTTTTGCATTAAAAAACATAAAATGACTTGAAAGTTCAATTTTCCAACTAAAATCTTGTTTTGAAATATTTTCAGCACTAAATAAGATTGAAAATCCACTTTTAGTGGTTCATAACAGCATTTTAGCACAAAAATTGTAAAATTGGTTTACAAACTGTTTGAAATATCAATAATTTGTGCATTATTAAATTAGCTAACCAAAATGGGATTTCTCGGAACTTGATCTACTAACGTAACGCTTTAAAACAAAGCCACTAACTTTAATTCAATTTATCTCGGTTCATTTTAATGATACAAGAAACATGCCAACAGACAAAATGTTTATCACAATATCAACAACATTTTATCACTTTACCACTTTTTGATATCTCTCACAGATAATGAGATACATAGGCTCAAAATTTAATGTGCTACGAGGTCGGCTACCAACCTTTTCACTTTCAGTAAATTTATCTCGGTCCCTATGATAGATATCAGAAAGTGATAAAATGATAAAGTGTTTATCACAATATCAAAAACATGTTATCAGTTACTACTTTTTTGATATCTCTCCCGGGAATTGTGATAAATAGACTTAAAGGTAGGGGACCTTTTTGAGTTGCAAAAATCGGTAAAGAGGGGGGAGGGGGTTATTTTCGCAATTTCTCCAAATCCACAAAAATTTTTTTCGCAAATTTTCACCATACCACGAAATCCATTCTCTCTCCCTCTCTCTCTCCGCTTTTGGAGTTTTTCCCACATCTCCAATAGAATATGTTTCGTATAGCTCCTGAGATTGTGCTGCCTGCGAGAAATAATTTTTTGTCTCCCCAGCAGCCAAAACTTGTCAATTATTCATCCTGATCCCAATACTATCATCATCATCATCATCATCATCATTTTGTGTGCCTGTGTGCCTTCCGAAAAAAAGAAGAAGAAAAAGCTGGACTAATTCCATTTGGCGGGCAGCCGAGAGAGCGAAAAGAGAGCTAATCTGAACTGACAGATGACCCGTGAAAAGAAAAAAAGAGAGAGAGAGAGAGAGAGAGAAAAGGGGTCTTCTTTTATATTGAAAAAAAGAAGAGGTCCTACGCCCTCAAAGAGCATGAAGAGAGGACTTATTTCCGGAGGGACCTTCTCTCTTTTTTTTTGGGGGGGGGGGCAAAAGTGGTTATGAACTTGATATCATGGAATGGGAAGGGAAGAGGGAACTTTAAGATTTTTCAGAAAAGCCAAATTTCAAATCTAAATTGAATACACTAGGTTCAGATAAGTGGAGTGGTTGAAAACGTTTCAGAAACCTAAATAGCAAATTTTAGCTCATCTATCTCTGTCCCTGTAAAAGATTTGGAAACGTTGTCAACTAACAAAACATTTTTGATACTATGATAAATAATTTATCAGTTAATCACTTTTTGATATCTTTCACAAGAATCGAGAAAAACCGTTTCAAAGCTGAACAGACAGCGCTTGCCGGCTGACCAACGCGGCGACTCCCGACCTATTGACCCAATTTATCTCAATTCCTATGCAAGATATCAAAACGTTTTCAGCTAAAAACATTATTTTGATATTATGATAGACATTTTATCAGTTGGCAACTTTTAGATATTATTGAAACGGACCGAGATAAATTGGCCTAAAGTTTGATGCCATTTTGTTGCAGGTTTCATGTTAGGAGGTCTAATTACCCTTTTTGGGTAATTAAGTTTTAATCAAAATCACAAAATTGTTATCTATTTCAAGCAAAATTTTAATTCTGATGGCTGATTAAAAAATTCCTACTGTAACTCGACCTTTTTTCCCAAAGAACAAGAACAATGAAGTTAAGAGCTTCAAAATGAGTATAATATTTTAATTCTAGCTTATCTCGGCACCTGTAAAAGGTATCAAAAATTTTCAATTAACAAAATATTACTGATATTATGATAAACATTTTGTTAGTTGATCGCTTTTTGATATCTTGAAAAATGACCGAGATAAACTGGGTCAAAGTTAGGAAGGAAGCCCCCGCCGGCTGAGCTATGCGACGGCTGCCGATTTTTTAACTTTGAGGCAATTTATCTCGGTCCCTGTGAAAGGTAACAAAAAGTGATTGACTGATGAAATATTTATCATAATATCAAAAATATTTTATCAGTTGACAGATTTTTGTATCTTTTACAGGAAATAAGATATATGGGCTCAATGTTGGAGAGCCCAGGTTCCCAGGAGAATGTTCTAAAGTTTTTGACATTTGAACAAATAACCTAATCTAATGAATTTTGCAGTTCCATGTCCCCGAGAATTGATAGTGGAGAAGAAGTTATCACGTAGTGCACTAGTTTCATGGAGCCCACCCGAGGAGTCGTTCGTCGCCGTCTCCCAATATCATGTTTGTGTGGATGGAGCTGTTAGAGCAATCGTTCCAGGAACTTATAAGGTATGCACTTTTTTCGAAAGCTCTCAAATACAGTAACCCTTTAGTGTCGCGCCCTGGTAGAGGATATTCCATTAGAGTCGTCAGTCAACTTATCAGTACGTGCAGTCACGGAACACGGCCATTCGCCCGACGCCTGCTGTACGATAGCAATAGGAAATGGTGAGTTTTCAATTTTAGCTATATTATCCTTTTTGATTTTTTCAAAAATAAGAACTTCGGAAAAAAGTTATAGTTATTCTACAAAAATTACCGCATTTCCGCTAATAGAGGAAGCCTATTCAATCCGTCAACTTTGAGCTCAATTATCTCAGTTCCTGTGAAAAATAACAAAAATGTTTAAGCGGGTAACATATAGGTGATATTATGATAAACAGTTTATCAGTGGACTAATTTTTGATACCTTTTACAGAAATCGAGATAATTGAGCTTAAAGTTTGGGTGGTCTTCTATTAGAGGAAATATCGGTAAACTTTTTGAAACGTCATCTTAAACCAACATAACCGAATTTATTATTATTTTTTTAGCTCTTTTCAAGTTCTACATCTTTAAATCTCAATATTTTAAAAATGTGACATTTCAGAAGCCCAAGTCGCACCTCAACAAGTCCGTGTGTGGGCGGTGACACCGGTGTCGGCGTGTGTCCGATGGTATCCATCGAATAGTAATGCAGAGCATGTCGTCTCACTCAACGCTGTTAAAGTGGGCGTATGTCCCCCAACTGTCTTTCAAGTGAGTCTTTTTTTTTCTGAAAATTATAGGGATTTGAGGTGATATTCTAACTTTTGGGAATCCCCAAAAAACCGTAAACACTAACAAAACCCTAACTTTCAACTTTGAGTCAATTTATCTCGTTTCCTATAAAAGATCACAAAAAATAGTCAACTAACAAAATATGTTTGATACTATGATAAACATTTTAACAGTTAAAAAATTTTGATATCACTTACAGTAACCGAAAAAAAAGGCTTCAAAGTTAAAAGGTCGGCAGCCACCTCGTAGCTCAGCCGGCAAGCGCTGCCTTCTCAACTTTAAATCAGTTTATCTCAGTTCCCGTGAATGATATCAAAAAATGGTCACCTGACAAAATCTTTATCATAATATTAGTAATATTTTATCAGTTAACAAGTCCTTGATACCGTCTACAGAAGCCGAGATAAATAGCCTCGAAGTTCAAAGCTCGTAGGCAAGCGCTTCCTTCTCAACTTTGATCTCAATTATCTCGATTCCTCTAAAAGATACCGAAAATTAGTTGGTTGATAAAATGCTTATCATAAACTCAAAAACATTTTATTAGTTGAAAGTTTTTTGATATCTTTTATAGGAACCGCGATAAATTTGGGCAAAGTTGGAGCTAGAATTTCATCATTCCTTTTTTCGAACAATGGAAATTGAATGATTTTAAGTTCAAATGTTTTGACTCATTCCTCAGATTTTTTTCAGATTTGTTTTATCATATTCTAGACTCTTTTCAAATCGGGATTATCAAAAAATTGTGTTTCTGCTAATCCTTCCTGTTGAACTTTTCCTTTTCAGTTGACTGGTTTTTAGCTGAAATTTTATATTTTTATTTGGAAACTTGAATAAATTTTGAGATTCTTCAAAAGGTCATTTTTAGACAAAGACTTTTTATAATTTTCTGATTTCTAAGGTTATCTGATTAGGTAGAAATTTCTATACCGTGTCATAATCCCATTTGTTATCTCAACCAGCAAAAAAAAGATAATCCCTATTTCTTTTCCTCCCAAATTTTCCTTTACATATAATATGTATACAAAATTTTTACTCCCTTCTCATTGTACGTCTTCTTCATCTCCTCATTTTTCTTCATTTTTTCCATTCCTTAGAATTCTGAGCACACAAAAAACGGGCTCATTTTGCTAATGAGCATCATGAGAAGATGGAGATGCTCCATTTTTTTTTTCTGTTTATCAGTTTTTGAATTTTTAGAATTTGAGAAATTCTTATAGTTAGATGCGAGGTTTCGAATTTTCGGATTCCTGGATTCTTGGATTTTTTAGGTTTCTGAAATTCTAGATTTTCGAATTTATAGAGTTTTGGATTTCTAGATTTCTAGGTTCCTGGATTCCTGGATTCCTGGATTTCTGGATCTCTGGACTTCTGGATTCTTGGATTCTTGGATTCTCGGATTCTCGGATTCTCGGATTTTTAAATTCCTATATTCTTGGATTGTTGGATTCCTGGGTTTCTGGATTTCTGGATTCCGGAACTGTCTGTAATTTTCTTGATTTAATGCCGCTAAATCAGTTGCATTGATTACAATTTTAATTACCTAATTAAAAAAATATACTAATTTTCCTTTTCCAGGTTCAATTACAAGGTCTACAACCATCAACAATCTATCGGGTATCAGTCAGGACGAAACATCCAAAAGCGGTTCTCGAGCAACGGCCAGTCGAGAGATGTATCGATTTTAAAACACTGCCAAAAAGTAGGTCAAATTTTTTTTGTTTTTTGGTGCCAAAAACCTTCCGAGAGTTTATGACTTTGTAGATTCCTGAATTCCTAAATTCCTGGATTCTGAATTCCTGAATTTTCGGATTCCCGAATTTCGGGAATTCTGGAATCCTGAAATCGTAGAATCCTGGAATCCTGGATTCCTGGTTTCCTGGATTTTTGAATTCTCGAATTTTCGGATTCCTGGAATCGTGGATTCCCGGGTTTCTGGATTCCTGGATTCCTGGATTTTTGAATTCTTGAATTCCTGAATTTTCGGATTCCCGAATTTTGGGAATCTTGGAATTTTTTAATTCCTAGGTTTTTGGATTCCTGGTATCCTGGATTCCCGGATTACTGGATTACGGGATTTCTGGATTCCTGGATTGCAAGATTCCCGGTTTTTTGAATTCTTGAATTTTCGGATTCTCAAATTCTTGAATTCTGGCATTAAACAAATAGGTCAATGCTCTCTTTTTTGGCGCCAAAACCCTTCCAATAGTTTTGGCTGGAATTTGAAAAAAATTGGTATACATACACATAATACACATTTTTCTCGTCTCCCCGGAATATACAATTAGGGGGAAAGAAAAAAAAAAGAGAACGCGAGCGGCTTTTTTTTCTTCTGGAAGGGGAAAAAAGGACGCTTTCTTTTTTTCTTTTCAGAAGACATGTACACCCACGCCTCCTTCCTTTTCTTTTATTTCTTTTCAGAGTCCAGATCATTTTTTGGATTTTTAAGACAAAAAGTGTCTATAAGTTCCTGATATTTTGAGCAGCTTTAACTTTAAATTAGAAAATTCTCACAATATCTAGAATATCCAGAAAATCAAGATTTCTGATAAACAGATGATTCAGGAAATTCAATATTTCAGAAATACAAAAATTCAAAATAAAGGAGGAATCCATATTTCAGAAACCCGAGAAAAATCGCAGATTAAGACTTTTTTTTTCATTTTCTTGAATTCGAAGGAATTTTTCTAAACAGTTGTGAAATTCTTGAGAAAAAAAACGTATTTCGAGATTTCTGTAAAAAGAACATTCTAGAACATTCTGGGGTTTTGGAAATTCCGAATTTCTTGGAACTTCTGAAGTTCTGACTTTTAAGAATCGCCGAATTTTAGAATTTTAGACTTTTTTTTGAATATTGTGTACCTTCTGAATTTCCTGGAACTTGTGAATATTCTGAAATCAGTAAAAAAATCTGCAGAATAGATAAAAACCAAATCGTTGAATTCCCTTTTTTGCTGCAAAAAAGTGGGCTGAGAATTTTAAATTTTTTTCCGGAAAGACATTTTTTCTTGCAAATCTTTTTTAACAGAAATTGGAATTTTAAAATTTTCGGAATTTTAAAATTTTGGATTTTTGGAATTGTAGAATTTCAGAATTTCAGTACTTTTGGAATTAATGTATTTTCAGATTTTTTCCGCATTTTAGAGTTTCAGAATTTCAGAACTCCAGAATTTCAGAATTCTAGAACTTTTGAGTTTCGTGGATTTTTCGGGATTTCTGAATTTCTGAGTTTTATAATTCCGGAATTTCAGTATTTCAGAATGTCGGCATTTCAGAATTTCAACACTTTCGGAATTTTAGAATTTCCTAATTTTAGAATTTGCCGAATTTCCTCAAAATTTTTAAATTTCGCGATTTTTTTTGCTATTTTGAAGCTCTTGGAACTATTTTGATATTCAACTTTATTCAAATTTCAGAACTTTGATATTTTGGAGCTTTCTGAAATAATCTAGTTTTCTGGAATGTTTGAATTTCATAATTTCAGAATTTCAGAATTTCAGAATTTCAGAATTTCAGAATTTCAGAATTTCAGAATTCAAGAATTTCAGAATTTCAGAATTTCAGAATTTCAGAATTTTGGAATTTTTGAGTTTCGTGTATTTTTCGAGGTTTTGAAGCTCCTGGAATTTTTTGGGAATATCTGGATTTTCAAATCTCAGAATTTCATAATTTCAAAATTTTCAGAATTTCAGATCTTTAGGATTTCATAATATCTCAAATTTTGGAATTTCGAAAGTTTTCTGGAGTTTTGAATCGTTTGGAATTTTTCGAAATATCTGGGTTTCTGAAATATCAAGTGTTTCGGAACTTTCAAATTTGACGGAATATCAGTTTATGGAACTTCTCAATTTCAGAAATTTGGAATTTCGAAATTTTTGAAATTCAGTGTTTTGGAAGTTCAGAATTTCTGGAATTTTGGAAATTCAGATTTTTCGAAAATGCAGAAAATTTTGAATTTCTGAAATTCAGAATTTCAGAACTTTTGGAATTTCAGAACTTTTCGATTTTTGAAATTTTGTTTCAGAACTTTTCGATTTTGAAATTTTCTTGGAAACTTTAGAATTTAGGATTTCCTTGGCTTTCTGGTTTTTTAACGAATTTCTTTTTTTCCCTCTAGACCCCTTTAAACATTTTCCAACTTTATTTGAAAACAAAAAATGCAAATTCTGTCCTTTATCTCCCCCCTAAAAAAATTTCCATCTCAAGAAGTGCCGGCCCAATTAGAAGTCATCCCCTTATTCGTCTTGACCTTTTCCTTCCCCTTTTTTGTCCATCTTCTTCTTCTTCTTCTTCTTCTTTTTTGTCCATTAAAAAGTAGGAAAAAGTCCTCATTCTCATAAATATTTCAACATGGGCTCGCCTGTCGAGCCTCCGCAAAGGTTTCTTTTGTCTTCTTTTTTTTTGGGAAAAAAGAGAAAATAGAAGCACATTTCGCAACTATATTTTGGTTTTGTCCCCAGGTTTTTCGTGTTTTCTTGGTGTTTTTTTTGGGAGTCTGTCGGTGCACATTTGGTGCAAAAATTTGAAAAGAATTTTTAATATTTTTTGGTCCTGTGGTGGTTTGAACTTTTTCAGTGTAGCTTTTCGAATCAGGTTTTTCACTGTAACTGTTGACAAATTTCGATTTTACATTAATTTAAATTAAAACTAATTAAACTAATTAAATTAAATTTAAATTAAATTTAAATTTAAATTTAAACTTTGCTCTGAAATTTGGAAGTTTTAATTTTAAAACAATCAAATTGCCCATGTCTTGAAATAAGTTTTGTTCTTTTTTTATGAAATTTTGGTTCAAAATTTTTTTTCGAAATTTAGAATTTTTGGAGATTTTGGAATTTCAGAATTTTCGGAATTTGAAATTGGGAATACTTTGAATATTAGATTTTTTTGATTTTATGTAATTTCGGTTTTTTTGGAAATGAGCACTTCTAGAGTTTTGGAAATTTTGAAATTTCAGAAGTATCAGAATTTTGGAATTTTTGGAATTGTTGGAATTTCAGAACTTTTCAATTTCTGGAAATTTTCGGAATTTTGGAATTTCAAATTTTTTGAATGACGGATTTTCAGAATTCTATAAATTCCGAAATTCCAAAGTCTCTGGAATTCCAAAAATTCATTTTTCAGACTTTTCGAATTTTTGGATATTGTCGAATTTTCATAATTTCGAGGACATCGGAATTCCAGAATTTTCCATTTTTTTAATACCAGAATTTTTGAGATCTCGGAATTTTAAAACTTTTAGAAGTTCAGAATTTAGGAGATTCACTGGTCTTCTGAAAATTCTGAAAATCTATTGAATTTTCTAGAATTTCTAGAAAAAAAAAACTCGTACTTCTAATTTTTTCAAATTTTGAATTATCTGGAATTTCTTGAAATTTTCGGCAGTTCAAAAAAAAAAAACAAAAATTCAATGAAACAAAAAAGGACATTCTCCTAGGAAACATCTCCTCCTCCCTTCTCGTTTCGTCGTCTTCGTCTCATTTCCATTTTTTGACGGCTCCTGTCAGAACTCAAAAAATTGGGAATAGAAGAAGAAAAAAAGAAACAGGAGGAGATGGGAGGAGACGCTTGTAAAAACAAAGTCGTAAAAAGAGTTTTTGGTGGTTAGAAGAACAAAAAGACGAAGAAGAAGAAGACCGTTGGGCTCGAAAAGAATGAATTGGAAACGAAAAAAGAAACACCAGCAAAAAACTTTTTGTTCTCTTTTTTCTCGTTTTTTTCGTTCTTTCCGTTTTTGAATTTTGTGTGACATTTCTGAAATTATAGGATCGGTCCGACACTTTGACGCATTTATCTCGGTCCCTGTGAGAGATATCAAAAACTGGTAAACTGATACCGTAAAACCTCTAATAGAACGACACCCGGAACGTCCACTTTTTTGAGCCTATATATCTCACTTCTTTTGAAAGGTATCAAAAAGTGGTTAACTAG